TTCACTTCCTTGTGTTTTGCAGATACTGCACTTTTTTTACAGACTGAAGGTTTGTGGCAGCCCTGCGTCAAGCAAGTCAATCAGTGCCATCTTTCTAACAGCATTTGCTCACCTCGTGTCTCTGTGTCAGTCTGGTAATTCTAGCAATATTCCGAACTTGTGTGTTTTTATTATCTTTGTTATGGTGATCTGTGATCACTGACCTTGGATGTTGCTATTGTAATTGTTTGGGGGCACCATGAACCACACCCACATAAGATGGAGAACTTGATGAATCTCGTGTGTGTTCTGACTTCTCTGTCAACCCGTCGTTCCCCCTGCTCAGGCCTCCCTATTCCCTGAGACACAACAATGTTGAAATTAGGATAATCAATAACTCTATAATGGCAGCTGAGTGTTCAAGTGAAAGGAAGAGTCCCACATCTCTCACTTTAAATCAAAGCTAGAAACGAGTAAGCTTAGTAAGGAAGGCATGTCAGAAGCTTAGCAGCCTGAAAGCAAGGCCTCTTGCACCAAAAGTAGCCAAGGTGTGAACGCAAAGGAAAAGTTCTTGAAGGAAATTAAAAGTGCTACTCCAGTGAAAGAGAAACAGCCTTATTGCTGAGAGGGAGAAAGTTGGACAGAAGATCAAACCAGCCATGACAGTCCCTTAAGCCAAAGCCTAATCCAGAGAGAGGCCCTGACTCTCTTCAATTCTGTGAAGGCTGAGAGGTGAGGAAGCTGCAGGAGAAAAGTTGGAAGCTAGCAGAGGTTGGTTCCTGAGGCTTAAAAAACTGTCTCCGTAACACAAAAAAGTACAAGGTGAAGCAGCAAGTGCTGTTGTTGAAGCTGCCCCAAGTTCTCCTGAAGATCCAGCTGAGATCATTACAGAAGGTGGCTCCAGTAAACAACAGATTTGCTGTGCCGATGAAACAGCCTTCTGTTGGAAGAAGATGCCACCTAGGACTTTCCTAGTCGACGCCTGGCTTCAAACTTCAAAGGACAGGCTGACTTGTTAGGGGTTAATGCAGCTGTGACCTTAACCTGAAGCCAAAGCTCATTTACCATTCCAAAAATTCTAGGGCCCCTAAGATTTATGCTAGATCTACTCTGCCTGTGCTCTGTAAATGGGACAACAAAGCCTGGATGATGGCACATTTGTTTACAATATGGTTTACTGAATATTTTAAGCCCACTGTTGAGAACTACTGCTCAGAAAAAAAAGATTCCTTTCAAAATTTTACTGCTCATTGACAATGCACCTGGTTACCTAAGGGCTCAGATGGAGATATTCGACAAGATTAATGTTGTTTCCATGCCTGCTAACACAACATCCATTCGGGAGCCCATTGATCAAGGAGTAATTTCGACTTTCAAGTCTTATTATTTAAGAAATACATTTCAGAAGTCTACAGCTGCCATAGATGGTGAGTCCTCTGATGGATCTGGGCAAAGTAAATAGAAAAATTTCTGGAAAGGATTCACCATTCTAAATACCATTAAAAACATTTGTGATTGGGACACCTGGGTGGCTCAGTCGGTTAAACATCTGACTCTTGATTTTGGCTCAGGGTCATGAGATCAAGCCCCACGCTGAGCGTGGAGTCTGCTTAAGATTCTCTCTCTCGGGTGCCTGGGTGGCTCAGTTGGTTAAGCGACTGCCTTCAGCTCAGGTCATGATCCCAGGGTCCTGGGATCGAGTCCCGCATCGGGCTCCCTGCTCTGCAGGGAGCCTGCTTCTCCCTCTCCCACTCCCCCTGCTTATGTTCCCTCTCTCGTTGTGTCTCTCTGTGTCAAATAAATAAATAAAATCTTTAAAAAAAAAAAAAAAAAGATTCTCTCTCTCCCTCTCCCTCTGCCCTTCCCCCGCCGAACTCTCGTGCTTTCTCTCTCTTAAAAATAAAAAATTGTGATTCATGGGAAGGGGTCAAAACATTGACATCAATAGGAGTTTGGAAGAAGTTGATTCCATCCCTCATGGATGACCTTGAGGGGTTCAAGACTTGAGTGGAGGAAGTAACTGCAGAAGTGGAAGGAGCAAGAGAACTAGAACTAGAAACGGAGCCTGAAGATGGGACTGAATTGCTGTAAGCTCATGATAAAATTTGAACGGGTAAGGACCTGCTTCATTTGGATGAGCAAAGAAAGTGATTTCTTGAGATGGAAACTACTCCTGGTGAAGATGCTGTGAAGATTGTTGAAATGACAACAAAGGATTTAGAATATCCCTTAAACTTAGTTGATACAGCAGCAGCAGGGTTTGAGAGGATTGACTCCAATTCTGAAAGAAGTACTATGGGTAAAATGCTATCAAAGAGCATCACATGCTACAGAGAAGTTGTTCATGAAAGGAAGAGCTGATCAAAGCAGCAAACTTAATTGGTCTTTTAAGAAATTACCACTGTCACCCAACCTTCATTAACCCCCACCCTGATCAGTCAGCAGCCATCAACATTGAGGCAAGACCCTCCACCAGCAAAAACATTACAACTTGCTAAAAACTCAGATAATGGTTAGCAATTTTTAGCAATAAAGTATTTTTTTAATTAAGGTAGGTACATTGGTTTTTCAGACATAATGCTATTGCACACTTACTACAGTGTAAACATAACTTTTATATGTACTGGAATGCCAAAGAATTCATTTAACTCATTTTATAATGATGCTTAACTTATTAAGGTGTTCTGGAACTGAACTGCAACATCTCCAAGGTGTGCCTGTATATTTGAGGGTTCATTTAGGCTCACAATCCTTTGTTCACACCTGCAGGTACAAGGGACTGGCATGAAAGGGCTGGTTTAGGAAGAGATTGTATGTAAGTCAGGGGTAGCAACCTCCACCCACTTTTTGTTCTTTCATGGTGTTTTTGAGAATTGCTAACTGATGCAGTAAATGAGATTACAGGTGTATCTATATTTACATATTACAAAGATTTTTAAAAATTTAAATAAAACCAAAATTTATATACATTAAAATATAATCAGGAAATCACTTTTTACTACAAGTCTATGAATATGTAATGTCCTTACTAAGGAACACTAAACATCTTAAAATGTAATATACATAGATGATAGATAGATAGATAAATAGATAGATAGATAGATAGATAGATAGATAGATAGATAGATAGATAGATATGGATGGATAGTGGGTGGATGGGTGGTTGGGTAGATGTATGTATAGATAGAGATACGATACATACTGATGATGGCTTTAACTTCCTGCAAAATATTTCAAACCTATCCTTACATATCACTCAGTCACTTAATATTTTGCCAATATTGGTTTCTTATCAGTTTTTTTTAGTATTCTTAGTCCCTTTACCTTCTTTCCCTCCCTCTCTAACCACTCACCTGAGTTGAAGTTTATCATTCCCATGAATATCTTTTTTTTATTATGTTAGGTTAATCACCATACATTACATCATTAGTTTTTGATGTAATGTTCCATGATTCATTGTTTGCGTATAACACCCAGTGCTCCATTGAGTACGTGCCCTCTTTAATACCCATCACCAGGCTCACTTTTAATGCCTTAAATATACTTTCTGTAAATGCGTATTTCCATAAAATATGTGGGAGTTGTTTTGGAAGGTGTTAAGCCTTATACAAATTGTATCATACTAAAATGTTATGTTTTTGAGATTTATCCACATTCATGCATGTACCTCTGGTTCATTCATTTAAACTAACTGTATAGTATTAAAGTTTTATAAATATTCCACAACCTTAAAATTTATTTTCTTGTTGATGAACATAGAGGAGTTTTCCAATTTCTTGCTATCACAAACAACAGTGTTAAAACATTACATCTCTCTCCTTGTACACATGTGCACAAATCTCCCACTGATACACACTTAAAAATAAAATTGCGGGCGCCTGGGTGGCTCAGTTGGTTAAGCGACTGCCTTCGGCTCAGGTCATGATCCTGGAGTCCTGGGATCGAGTCCCACATCGGGCTCCCTGCTCAGCAAGGAGTCTGCTTCTCCCTCTGACCCTCCCCCCTCTCATGCTCTCTCTATCTCATTCTCTCTCTCAAATAAATAAATAAAATCTTTAAAAAAAATAAAAATAAAAATGAAAATAAAATTGCTAGGTTGTCAAGTATGCCAATTTTCACCTTATTGGAGAATACAAATTTGTTTTCCAAAGTGACTGTACCAATGTTTACCCCCACCAGCAGGGCAAATGAGTTTCTAGGCTCCACATTCTGACCAAAACTTGGAATTGTCAGATCTTTACATTTTTTCCATTGAGGAGTGGGAAATCGTATCTCAGGTTTTAATTTGAACTTCTCTGATGACTAGTGAGGTGGATTGTTGTTCATATGTTTAGTGCCCATCCATCCTTTCTGCCCTGAGACTTGTCTGTTCATATCCTGTGTCATTTTCCTAGAAAGTTTCTAGTCTTCAGCTTATTGCTTTCAAGGAGTTTTAATATTTTCTGGATATTAATCATCCACCAGCTGTATGTTTTACAAACATCTCTCAGTCCATGCTTTGTCTTTTCACTTGTTTATGAATGGAAGTTTCCTTTACATATAGTCAATTTGATGTGCATTTTCTTCTGTGGTTTATGTTGTTTTTGTCTTTTTATTTAAAATCCCACCCTATGGGGCGCCTGGGTGGCTCAGTCATTAAGCGTCTGCCTTCGCCTCAGGTCATGATCCCAGGGTCCTGGGATCGAGCCCCACATCAGGCTCCCTGCTCGGCGGGAGGCCTACTTCTCCTTCTCCCACTCCCCCTGCTATGTTCCCTCTCTCACTGTGTCTCTCTCTGTCAAATAAATAAATAAAATCTTTAAAAATAAAATAAAATCCCACCCTATGCTGAGGTTAAATGTTCTCTGATGTTTTCATTTCAAATTTGAAATTTTGTTTATGTCTTTAGTCTACCTAGAATATATTTTTGTGTATGGTGTGAAGTAGGGAGTCTAATTTTATTTTAATTTTTAAAAATTTTTGAGCCCGAAGACACTAATTTCGAAACGTGTTATGCAAGGGCATCTTTTCTGTTTCAACAACAACTGTGCTAAGGTGAGACACGTTTTCTAACTTCTGGTAAGACTGAGAAATTAAGCAATAGTACTTTCTGAAACGATCAAGAAGAAAAATGTCAGTGACACTGCATACAGATGTAAGTGATATTAAAATAGAAGTTTTCTGTGAGAGAACACCCAAAACTTGTGAGAATTTTTTGGCTCTTTGTGCCAGTAATTACTACAATGGCTGTATATTTCATAGAAATATCAAGGGTTTCATGGTTCAAACAGGAGATCCGACAGGTACCGGAAGAGGAGGTAACAGTATCTGGGGCAAGAAATTTGAGGATGAATATAGTGAATATCTCAAGCACAATGTTAGAGGTGTTGTATCTATGGCTAATAACGGGCCAAACACCAATGGATCTCAGTTCTTCATCACCTATGGCAAGCAGCCACATTTGGACATGAAATACACAGTATTTGGAAAGGTAATAGATGGTCTGGAGACTCTGGATGAATTGGAGAAGTTACCAGTAAATGAGAAGACCTATCGACCTCTTAATGATGTACACATTAAGGACATAACTATTCATGCCAATCCATTTGCACAATAGCTATAATCTGGAAAAATATTTGGCAGACTATTCAAGGAACACACCTATTGTGCTTTACCCAGTTTTAACTATGTTGAAAGATTACATCATCCTTCTGCCTGTTTATAGCTAAGATCTTCTATGAGTTGGTGGTACCGTGGGGGCCCGAACAGCTTTTATTCCCATTATTAAAGCATATTTTTTACTATAACTGTTATCTAATATATTTAAGTTTAATTTTTTAAAAACTCTTCTAATTTTTTGTTACATATAAACATTCATTTTTAAATGCTGTCTCAAATCCAGGCATTTTTGAGCACTCTAATTACATATTCCTGCCATATCTAGTCCATATCCTAGAAGTAGTCTTTTCCATTAATTAGTCACTTTGTACAGTTAAGAGTAAGGACAAGATAGAGATGATCTAGAAAAGCCAGCCAATCCATTTTGCTGTTTTCTGTAGTCTTTAGATTTACAGTAAAGGCTCAGAGAAGTCCTAGTTTACAGTAAGCACTCAGAATTTCCCAACTCATTTGCCCATGGAACATTTTTGAAAGCTTATCATTTACAGTATTGCAGGACAGAATACTACAGGTGATCCATTTGGAAAATGCAATTAGTTGGTTAAGAGCACCAGTTGTAGAGTCCTGGATTGTGTTTGAATCACAGCTCTACCTCCTACTAGTAACTTTAGGCAGGTTAACATCTCCCAAGTTTTCTCATCCCTAAAGACTCATCCCCCTCATAAGACTATTAGGAGAATTAAATGAAACAATGTGTGTAAAGCTTCTGACATGTGTAAGTGTTCTGTAGTGAGTAAATGGAAGTAGCTCTCCTAACCTTTCTCTCCATCACAGGGCTCTCACCGAATCAGGCCTCATCATTTATCAGGCGATACCACTGATCTCATCAAGAACCATATTCTTCAATCTGTTTTGATCACCTTGGTTAGATTTTGGGTATTTCTTGGTTTGTATCATTTCTGTAGATAGCTGATCGAAATAATATTTTCTTTCTTAACTACAATTTGGATGTTAGCTTGCAATATCCTCTTATTACCATCTATACCTTCTACTAAACTGATGTGCTAATTATACTAATATCCTCACTTTTTTGTTGTTGTTTTTTGTTTTTTTAATTTATTTGAGAGAGACAGAGATAGTGAGAGCTCGAGCAGGAAGGAGGGGGAGAAGCAGACACCCCGCGGAGCAGGGAGCCCGATGTGGGGCTCGATCCCAGGACCCTGGGATCATGACCTGAGCCGAAGGCAGAGGCTTAACCATCTGAGCCACCCAGGCGCCCCCTGAACTCTTTTTTTAATGAACTTTTTAAAAATTTTTTTATTTAAATTTGATTTAGTTAACATAAATACTGTATTATTAGTTTTGGAGGTAGAATTCAGTGATTCATCAGTTACATATAACACCCAGTGCTCATTACAACCAATGCCCTCCTTAAAGCTCACCACCCAATTACCCCACCCCCAACCCACCCCTCCAGCCACCCTCAGTTTGTTTCCTATAGTGGAGTCTCTTATGGTTTGCCTCCCTATTGTTTTTATCTTATTTTATTTTTCCTTCCCTTCCCGTATGTTCATCTGTTTTGTTTCTTAAATTCCACATATGAGTGAAATCATATGGTATTTGTCTTTCTCTGACTTATTTGGCTTAGCATAATACCCTCTAGTTCCATCCACATTGTTGCACATGGCAAGATTCCATTCTTTTTGATGGCTGAATAATATTCCATTGTATGTGTGGAATTTATCCATTCATCAGTTGATGGGCATCTGGGCTCTTTTCACATTTTGGCTATTGTGGACATTGTTGCTATAAACATTGGGGTGCATGTGCCCCTTCAAATCACTATTTTTGTGTCCTTTGGATAAATACCTGGTAGTGCAATTGCTGGGTTGTGGGGTAGTTCTATTTCTAACTTTTTGAGGAAACTCCATATTGTTTTCCAGAGTGGCTGCACCAGTTTGCATTCCCACCAACAGTGTAGGAGGGTTCCCCTTTCTCTGCATCCTCACCAACATCTATTGTTTCCTGAGCTGTTCATTTCAGCCATTCTGACTAGTGTCAGGTGGTATTTCATTGTAGTTTTGATTTGTATTTCACTGATGCCAAGTGATGTTGAGCACTTTTTCATGAGTCTGTTAGCCATCTGTATGTCTTCTTTGGAGAAATGTCTGTTCATGTCTTCTACCCATTTCTTGACTGGATTTTTTGGTTGTTGGGTGTTGAGTTTGATAAGTTCTTTATAGATTTTGGATATTAGTCCTTTATCTGATAAAACATTTGCAAATATCTTCTCCCATTCCATAGGTTGTCTTTTGGTTTTGTCGACTATTTCCTTTGCTGTGCAAAAGCTTCTTATCCTGATGAAGTCCCAATAGTTTATTTTTACTTTTGTTTTCCTTGTCTCTGGAGATGTGTCTAGCGAAAAGTTGCTGCAGCCAAGGTCAAAGGGGTTGCTACCTGTGTTCTCCTTTAGGATTTTGATGGATTCCTGTCTCACATTTAGGTTTTTCATCCATTTTGAATTTATTTTTGTGTATGGTGTAAGAAAATGGTCTAGTTTTGAGCCCCACATTGGGCTCTCTCCTTCTCCCTCTGCCTGCTGCTCCCCCTGCTTGTGCTCTCTCTGTCAAATGATTAAATAAAATCTTTAAAAAAAAAAAAAGAAAGAAAAGAAAATGGCCCAGTTTCATTTTTCTGCATGTATATGCCCAGTTTTCCCCAACACCATTTGTTGAAGAGATTGTCTTTTTTCCATTGGACATTCTTTCCTGCTTTGTCAAAGATTAGTTGGCCATAGGGTTGAGGGTCCATTTCTGTTCCATTGATCTATGTCTGTTTTTGTGCCAGTACCATACTCTCAGGGTGATTAGAGCTTTGTAATACAGCTTGAAGTCCAGAATTGTGATGCTTCCAGCTTTGGTTTTCTTTTTCAACATTACTTTGACCATTTGGGGTCTTTTCTGGTTCCATATAAATTTTAGAATTGTTTGTTCCAGCTCTGTGAAGAATGCCAGTGTTATTTTGATAGGGATTGCACTGAATGTGTAGAGTGCTTTGGGTAGTATAGACATTTTAACAATATTTGTTCTTCCAGCCCATGAGCATGGATTGTTTTTCCATTTCTTTGTGTCTTCCTCAATTTCTTTCATTAAGTGTTCTATAGTTTTCAGAGTACGGATCTTTTACCTCTTTGGTTAGGTTTATATCTAGGTATCCTATGGTTTTTGCTGCAGTTGTGAGCAAGATCAATTCCTTGATTTCTCTTTCTGCTGCTTAATTGTTAGTGTATAGAAATGCAATAGACTTCTGTGCATTGATTATATATCCTGCAACTTTGCTGAATTCCTGTACCAGTTCTAGCAATTTTTTGGTGGAGTCTTTCAGGTTTTCTACATAGAATATTATGTCATCTGCAAAGAATGAAAGTTTGACTTCTTCTTTGCCAATTTGGATGCCTTTTATTTCTTTTTGTTGTCTCATTGCTGAGGCTAGGACTTCCAGGACTATGTTGAACAACAGCAGTGAGAGTAGACATCCCTGTCATGTTCCTGATCTTAGGGGAAAACCTCTCAGTTTCTCCCCATTGAAGATGATATTCGCTGTGGGTATTTCATATATGGCTTTTATGATGTTGAGGTATGTTCCCTCTATCCCTCCATTGTGGAGGGTTTTTATCAAGAAAGGATGTTGTATTTTGTCAAATACTTTTTTCTGCATCTATTGAGAGGATCATATGGTTCTTATCCTTTCTTTTATTAATGTGGTGTATCATGTTGATTGATTTGTGGATGTTGAACCACCTCTGCAGCCCAGGAATAAATCCTACTTGGTCATGGTGAATAATCCGTTTAATGTACTGTTGGATCATATCAACTAGTATCTTAGAATTTTTGCATTCATGTTTATCAGGGATATTGGTCTGTAATTCTCCCTTTGAGTGGGATTTTTGTTTGGTTTTGGGATCAAGGTAATGCTAGCCTCATAGAATTAGTTTGGAAGTTTTCCTTCCATTTCTATTTTTTGGAACAGTTTCAGAAGAATAGGTATTCTTCTTCTTTGAATGTTTGGTAGAATTCCCCTGGGAAGCCATCTGGCCCTGGACTCTTGTTCGTTGGGAGATTTTTTATTACTGATTCAATTTCTTTGCTAGTTATGGGTCTGTTCAGGTTTTCTATTTCTTCCTATTTCAGTTTTGGTATTTTACATGTTTCTAGGAATTTATCCATTTCTTCCATATTGCCTAATTTGTTGGCATACAATTATATTATTATAATTGTATTTCTTCAGTGTTGGTTGTGATCTCTCCTCTTTCATTCATGATTTTATTTATTGGGTCCTTTCTCCCAAATAGGGAGTCTAATTTTAATCTTTTGCATATGGTTCTCCAATGGTCCTAGCACCATTTAATGAAGAGTCCATCATTTCCCATTTGAACTACAATTCTACCTTGCCATAAATTGTTTCCATTATGCATGATTTTGTTTCTGGGTTCCCAACTTTGTGTGTTTGTAAATCAATATTCTACCCTTGAGCTAATTTCACACTGTTTTAATTACTACGGTTACAAAATAATTCTTAAAAGTATGTCTGCTAGCTTCTTCCTCAAAATTGTCTTCTCCGTTCTTAGTCCTACAGTTTTCCATATGGCTTTTTTTTTTTTAAGATTTTATTTATTTGCGAGAGAGAGAACGAGAGACAGAGAGCATGAGAGGGAGTGAGAGGGAGGGTCAGAGGGAGAAGCAGACTCCCTGCTGAGCAGGGAGCCCGATGCGGGACTCGATCCTGGGACGCCAGGATCATGACCTGAGCCGAAGGCAGTTGCTTAACCAACTGAGCCACCCAGGCGCCCATCCATATGGCTTTTTAATTCTTATTAAGTGTAAAACATTTTTGCAGTGAGGTTCCAATTAGATCGCATTCATAGATTAACTTATTGGGAACTGACATTGTTAGAGTAAGTCTTTCCCTCTACAAAAATGGTCTCTACTTATTTACATTTTCTTTAATGTCTTTTCAGAAAGTTTTATGTTTTCTCCATAAAGGTCTTATATATTCTTCATTGAGTTTGTTCCCAAGGGCCATAGAGTTGTTTGTTTAGGTTTTGGGTAGATTTTTGGCAATTACAAATAATACATGATTTAATTAAACTTTCTAATTATTGATTTTTAAAAGAAATTGATTTCTACACATGGATATTTTATGCAGAAGCTTGGATGAAGTCTCTAATTTTAATATTCTTCCAACGGGTTAGTTTGGGGTTTTGAGGTAGAAAATCGTATCATCTGCAAATAACAGTTTGAGTATTCCTTTCTAATCATTTTTTCCCTTTTCCAGCCTTCCTGCACTACGTCAGACTTCTATCCAAAACAGTTACACAAAGTTCACTAATGGGCAAAATTAAGGCATTTAGGAATGCATACTTCAATTATTAAAGTATGGAGAAAAATAAGGATGTGATAACCTAAAAGTCAGGATAGTGGTTGTCTTTAGAGAAAAGAGAGAGAATTTTTATTGGAAAGGCACCTGGGGACCTGTGGGGTGAGGGCAGTATGGGGGGGGGTGTTATGCAGGGTTTTGAATCATAGTTCATCAATCTGTACATTTTTCCTTTATACAGCTTTTCTATATGTGTTATAATTTACAACTTTAAAAAGATTTTAAATTGTTTAAAAATGAATTGGAGAACATTCTGTTTTCACATGCTCCAGAACAGTTGGCAAAATGTTGGTATTATCTGGTCCTTACTGAACATAAAGTGAAAAATCAGTTTTAAATTCTTTAAACTTAGTGAGGGTTTTTTAATATATAGGGTTTTGATTACTGAATCTCTTTAACAATTTTATTTCATTCACATGTTCTATTTCTTATTAAATCAATTTTTGTTGTACTTTTCTTAAAAAGCATTAGTTTTCTTTGTTTTCCATTGAATAAATTAGTTCATTATCCCCTCATATTTTCAATTTCTGTCATATCAGTACTTTTGTCCTTTTTTTCATTGTTAATATCATTTATATCTACACCCTTTGAAGGTGATTTTTATTTTCCCCGTTGTACTTCGTTTTGTACTTTTTAAGCCTCTTACAAA